AGGAGAGAGAGAGAGGGAGAAAGGGGTTGTTAGAATTCAGATGCCTTGTGACCTTTTTTTTCCCATAAATTCTGATTATTTAACCTTATGCCTCCTGAATTCAACATTAATACTTATTTTTTAATTTTTAACCGTTATCTCCTCTCTGAGTCCAGACTTAAATATTACATGCAAGAATACTATGCAAACACACATATAATAAGAAATATAAGAGAACTATACACATTCATTCAATCACTCTGACCGATTTCATGTCCGTAACAGATACATTAGAGAAAATTTAGAACATATAAAACATTTTTCCATTGGATAAAATGCTATATTTTATTATTTTCCTAATAGCAAAAGTATCCAATTATTATTCAAAAAGATTAACACATACACGTAGAATTTTTACGATTGCAAATGATACCGCGCATTATTACTATATATTTAATATGTTTTCAATCATTTTTTATTATTTTTTTATTTACTTAAATCTCTATAAATGTTTTTGCGTCCCAAAATCAATCAATCAGCATAAATAAAAAGTTACAAATTTATGGATTAAGTGTACAACATAAATAATGGACAAACTTTGGATTAAATGATCTTTTGAAAAAAAAAATTTCTAAGGAAAAATAATAAACATTAAGAATGTCTTACCGAGAACAGTTAAACTCCATACATGTAATTATGACAGATAATAAATTAAATTTTATGACTGTGGGACACAGTATAATACAAAAATTCGTTAATCAATTACAGCCAATGATTTATCCAAAAATTAATAGGAAATAAAAAATAATAAAATAATAAAGAATAAAGACTTATTTTTCAGAATAAAAAACTTTGATGATGTTTGTGGTGAAAATGTGTGCGAAATGTTTATAGATAACAAATTATATTCTACGACATATGTATCAATTTAAGGAAAAATCTGCCTACTTGATAATGATGCTAGAGGGCATTAAAAATTTACCCATCAAGCACCTCTAACTAAAAATCGAATAGAAACAGCCGATTGTTAAAAAATAAAAGTTTTGTCCCACCATTTTTTTCCCATAGAATTTCCTTTGGTTACTGCTTGCTGATTTAAGGACAATTATCAACTTACGTGCGTGCTTTGTAAATTCTTCGAACAAGTCATCTCGGTCTCGATTCTTTGGAATATTTCCCACAAACAAGCGATGATTGTTATAAGATACGGTAACACCAATCTTTTTCCCTTTCCGAATCTCATAATCATTCAGCTGTAAGAATAATGTGGAAGGAGAGTGCCAATTAAGCTTGCCTTTTACAATTTCACCTGCTTATTGGCTGTTCTGAACGTGGGATATCGTGAAGCGACCTTCGGGGAAATTATATATATCTTATACGAAGGAACAGGGCAAGCAAATTAATAAATGAATGTGAAAAAATAAACTGGAGTTAATTATCGTACACGGTCGGTGAATGGATGAATAGATATATAGAGGTAGATAGATAGTTATATCGATAGATAGATAGATAGGTAAATAGGTACGAAGGTAGATAGGTAGAAGGTAGGTAGGTAGGAAAATAGGTAAATAGGTAGAGATAGATAGAGATAAGTGTATAAAATAAATAAATGAATAAAGTAGATAAGTAGATAGGGAAACTGGTAAACAGAAATAAATATATAAATAGACAAGTTGATAAATAGAAATAGGTAAGTATATTCATGGATTAATAGATAGTATTAGATGGGCAGATGGGTAGATTGATAGACAGAATAGTTGATAAATAGAAATAGATATATGGATAGCTAGGTAAGGTGATAGGTGTAATAGGTAAGTAGGTAGGTGGATGGGAGTGCCTGTCCGTTTGTTAGCGAGCCAAACGCCCCAGCGGTCCACGCATATCTCCCATACCCCCATGCTTGAGGTCCAGTTATGAATCGCGTTAACATGATGCAAAAACTGATAACAACCACGCAGGACAGCGCGCATTATATTTATTATTACCTCACTATATAATTTTAATAATTCTGCCATATTAAATTGCTTCCACATTTTCTCTTCTAAATACTTTGTCTCTCTTTATCCTTTTTATTGTAGAAAAAAAAAAAAGAAGAAAAAATCAAATAACAAAAGAAACAGCAAAATAAGGAATTAAAAAATGAAAATAAAAGTACACGTTCAAATCGCCAAGAAGATAAAACTTCAAATGTCAAGATTAAGGCTACTTGTGTGAGATTGTGTGTTTGCGCGCTTCAGTGTAAATTGTGGGATTGTTCGCGTGTATGTTTGACAGCAAAAAAAACGAATGGTGTTGATCGTAGTGGTAGTGATGGTTTGGTACCGATCATAAAATAATTGTGATCCTACAATGAAGATGCAACGGAACGACGATAATGATGGCGATAACGATAACTATGATAATAAGAACGACAACGGTAATTATGAAAACTAAAGGATAAAGGAACGCTATAAGGAGTAAAAGAAAAATCATTTGGGAGAAAAGAAAGGAAGTATATTAAATAAAAGTAGGAAGTGTATAACTCATAACTCAACCTAAATATGCGAGGAAAAGAAGACTTGGACCAGAGAGGTGTTACTGTTCACTAATAAACCGAGAGGCAAGGAGACTGATCAGAACTGAAGGTGACATAGGTAACTGTAAATCGCACGGTCGCGCGTACGATCGTGTTTATTTCTTGGATGCTCCAAAATTCCATACCATCTACAACCACTACTTAAAAGCTACCACTCGTAAGTTACAATACAGGTAGACAGGTAGGTATAGGTAGATAGGTAGGTACACACGCCTCGTATTCACTTTACCTGTTAATTTACCAAATTCCTCCAAGATCTCCTCTTTGCCTTTTGACTTTGGTATGTTCCCCACGAAAAGTCGTAGATTAGGAACGCTAATGTTTACTTTCAGATTCTTGCCGGGTTTTATTTCGTGATTATCGAGCTGTGGGATGAAGAAAACAAACACATGCCTCATATTGTTCCAATGATATACACTTCATGTTTTATCTAATTGCGACAAACAAAAGAATTTAGGAAAGATTTTTCAAAATATGAAATTTAGTGAAATAATTAACATGGCCTGGTTCCATGAAAGCGAGAAAGTGGCATGCGCTTTGTCGCTCGAGTCTTCACAATATAGGAAACCGGCGTTCACGTATGTGCTCCTGTAAACAAATTTTAAACCTACCAATTTTCAAAATTTTGTTACAAAAATTGTCACTGTCCAACGAAAGTCAACCAATTAAGTAAATATACCCCTAACCAATTAAACCACACGAACTTCTTTTTTTTCGCATCGTCAATGTTTAGGAAAGTTCTCCACTCCCAATTTTGCCCACTGAGCAAAGAGGAGAGCTGGAAAAAGAAACTCATCCATAGGACATTATTATATACATGTATGTATATACATACATACATGCATACATACATACGTACATACATACATACATACATACATCATACATACATCATACATACATACATACATACATACATACATACATACATACGTACATATGTACGTACGTACATATGCGCGCGCGCGCTTATGATGTGTGTGCGCATATGTGTATATGTAAATGCGAACCTGTTTAAATGTATGTGTATATCTATATATATATGTACAGAAAAATATGTATATCTTCTGCATGTATTCGCGTGCGCGCGCGCGTGTGCTTATACTGTTATACATATGTGCATTTATTTTCTCTCTCTGTTTTGCTGCTGTTAAGTATTTGGCATGTGTTGGGCATCATTATATATTTAAATATAAATTAGTGGTCAGGGACATATATGTATATGTATGAAACAAATATGTGGATTGTTCCTAACTAAAGACATTGAATGTCAAATTTTATTATTTTTTACCATTAGTAAAATAATGCTAAAACATTTGTGTTAAAACTACAACTTTAAAAATAAATAAATAAAAAAGAGAGAAGAAAAAAAAGAAAAAAAAAATAAAGAAAGAAAACGCAAGTCACAACATATAGAACAAGCCACATGGGAATATGAAAAAAATGTATTCGAAATGTTTAATGTAAGAAGAAAAAAGAAGAAAAGGAAAAAGAAGATGTTCTTATACCATCTTCAATTTGATGAGTCGATTAACGTTCATTTTGAAACAAATACCATAAACATAAATAAAAATAATTCAATAAAACAAGTTATAGAATTAGGAAGAAAGTAAAGAAATAAAACATGTGCAATAATGTATTTAAACATTTCGAAAATTTACTTATTTTGGTAGCAATAACAATTTTGTAACATTTCTAAAGTTTTTCTAAACAAAAGTGAAGGGAATTGATATATCCATAACAAGATGTTGTAAACTAGGATAACAGAATTTGTACGCTTCACAAACATGTACCTACATGATAGTAAAAATAATTCAAAGAATATCTACATACCTCTCTAACAGCTTGTTGTGCTGCTTCCCTATTAGTAAAAGTGATAAAAGCATATCCTCTGTTACATCCTGCCATCGGATCCATCATTAATCTTAAATCCCAAATTTTTCCACATTTTTCAAACAAAGGAATTAACTCATCTTCATACATATCTTTTGGAATTTTTTCCACAAAATACCTTTTAGGGAAAAAAAATATATAAAATAAGAAGAAAATTAAAATGATAATAACTGATACAAAAAAAATTTTTTTTAATATAAAAAGAAATAGAATTTGATTAAATAAAAAAAAAACAATAATTCATTGTCTTACCTCGCAACCAGTTCCTGGTGTAGGACCTTCCCAATTTGGAGGAGGACCTCCATATTTCCTTTGTCCTGTTGTTACATCCAAAGGATAACCAGTTCGTTCAAGAATCATCTAAGGTATTATAAACAATTTTGTATTTTCTTTATAATTTATGTTAAGTATAGTAAGTTATAAATAAGTATAGTATAGTAAGTATAAGTATAGTAAGTATAAGTATAGTAAGTATAGTAAGTTTATAAATAATTATAAATATAATTTATATTATAAATATCAAATTAAAGAAAATAAATATCTACCTTTATTTTGTCTTCATCTGGTGCTTTTGGAGTAGTACTAGTACCAGTACCTTGTCCAGCTCGACTTTTCTGTCTATAGGTTTTCATTACACCACAAAGATATGCAGATTTATTTGATACGTGTTCTAAATTAGATTCAAGAAACTGTGTGAGTACATTTAATGCACCATCGACAGGAAATTCCTTTAAAGCATCTAATGCTCTTTCATCCAAATCCACATGAGCTAATTTTCCTGTTTTATAAATTTCATCTAATTTTGCAGCTACTTTTTCATCTAATCCATATTGAATCAACTTTGAAAAATCTTCCGTTCTTTCTACATATTCCATTTCCTCCTTAGACTGTTTTTCTTCCATTTTTATTTCCCCATTTCCTTCTGCCATAGCTAAAACAAATTTTTATTTCCAAGACAACATCTTTGAGAAAACAAAAATTTCAATTATTTTAGTTTTTTATATTTATATAATTTAATTTGAAGTTTATATCTTTTTAAATTATTATTAAAATAAAATTATTATTTAATATATTAAACTTATTATAACCCATTAAATATCTATTAATCCTTTGTGGTTATATTTTCATTAGATATAATATTATTACTATAGGAAATATTAATAAAAATTATTTTTCAATAAATGTACACTTATTATATAATCTTATATAAACAAGCAAATTTTTTCTATAAATTTTCACATATATTTAACTCAACAATATTGAATTCGATTTTGTTATTAGTAATTACTTTATAAACTATTCTTCTAATTTTCTATCGTATCATATATTTTTTGTAAAAATATATGTAAAAAATCTGATTTATATTGACATGTATCAAAATAATTAGTATTCACATAATTAATGATGAATTGTTCCACTATCTAAGAATAAAAAAGAATCAAAGAATCAAACATTTTTAAAAATATAATTGTATGTTGTAAACAAGATAATTCTTAAACTTCAACACTCGTTTCAATAATAGAATAAAAAGATATTATATTTTATCCAAAATAATGCAAAGATAGATTTTAAGTTTTCATATTAATCGCAATAATACTTAGTTCTTTATTTTAATAACTGAAAAAATAACAGAAAGAAAAAAAGAAAATAAATAATTAAATAGAAATATATAATCACAAAGGATTAAAAATACAAAAAATCTTTTGAACGAAATTATATATATTGTTACATTAGTAATTTTTAATTTTTTTATATAACGGCAATATCAATATTACTGTGTATTATATCATTTACAACATTGATATTACATAATAGATTTGTTTTTAGCATTTAAATATCAAAATCTAATATTTTCTAAATTATAATATAATTATAAAATATTAAAAGCATTAAAATATTTCTTAATTTGTATAAAGAAATTTTGTTTAACATAACTTATATATAATTTGAAAAATAAATATAAATATTTATAAATAATTACAATATTTAATCAGATATGTTCATGAAAATTAAAAGAATAATAACAGTTTTTCTATTAATATAAGATTAATAATTGATATAATTTTATAATATTCAATATATAATACCATTTTTAAATTTTATATTCAGAATTTTTAATCTATTATTCAAAATTTTTTATCTAAAATATCAGTCATTCAAAAGATTAAAAATAAGATATATTATATATAAAATAAAATAAAATATATACGAAAAGAATATATAAATAAATAATTTGAAATGGGAAAAAAAGAACTGGAAATAGAAATATGTAGAAATAATTATGAAAGAAAATGGAGTACATGAAATAGAAAAAATGTAACGAACGTGATTAAGACTCGAACACAACTATTCAACATATAATGCATAGTACGTACAGGTTCCCGCGTTTACAAACAATTTTTATATTAAAATTCTTAAATGTTATCCATAGCTTTATAAATAAAAATTACAGGAAAATTTTTATGAATATCATCAATGTATCATTGATAATATCGTATACCTACTCCTTAATTTGAAATATATAATAAAGAAGTCTCCATTATTGAACAATGCACTTTAAAATACGAGAATTTAATTATGATAATGAATTGTTTCAGAATAACGTATTTAATATATAAAATACAAAATTGTGCTTCAAGAGAAATGTAACTGCAATTTTTTGTGTAAAGCTTGCCGGCCGGCAATAGAGTTGCATCCATATTTCTTGAAGGATGCAATGCACTTTTACACTCGCGATAACATCACACCTGCTACTCTAACTAATGAATTTTTTATCGTGTTTATTAACGCATTACTATAAAAGCACATTGATAAAAATTATTCACAATATTCATAACAAGAATAATTGCATATACCTTAGAAAGTAATCGAACAAAATCCTCCTGTGAGGAAATGGCGATAGACGTCAACGTGATTGCAGACTACGGGGTTCACAAAACGACGCGCAAAGATACGCTCGAACCCAGCGACACGAGTTAGCCATTTTCTTCTGAGGTATATTCGCGAATTCTGATTGGTTCGTGCAAAACGTTGAAAAGAAAAAGTTGACCATGCAATATGCACTCGTGAAATAACGAATTTCATACTTGAAATGTACATACACAATAGTACGTTAATTCTATAATACGCAAATTTGATCTAATCGTTATACTTGTTCAATGAATTATTTTTAATTATTGCAAATATTATTTTTAATAAATATATTATCTACATATACAAAATTTAAAAGTATCGATAATAATTACATATCTATAATTTTTTTGATATTCTATTATTTTTTTTTTTTACTTTTAGTAATAAAATTTGAACATAAACTTACTATTATAATTTATTTGAATTGTGAATCAAAAATTTTTATTATTAAAATATTAAACTAAATATTAATAATTTATCAAAAACATTATAATTACGATCTTATAAAATATCGTAAAATAAATTTATGTTTTTTTGTTTCTATTTTATATTTTTTTTGTATTATTTCTTTCGAATAATGAAATAATAAAAAAAATTAAATGAAATATGAAAACAGCGATCGTATAATTTTATAATATTAAATTTCACAAAAAATAAATGGTCGTATATTCTAATGCTAAATTTACTTCATATTAATAAACTTATATTTAATATAATTTATATTTATAAAGTATTATTTTTTAAGTTAGATCAAACAATAAAGAAAGAATAATTGATAAGAATATTAAGCCAGAATAAATCAGAATCAAATGCCATAACCTCCGAAATATAATTATACGGTATAAAAATAATGTACCTGTATAAAATCTGAAATCTTCACAGTTAATAATTAATTTTGAACAAATTACAAAACGAAGCACCAAATATTATACACAAAACAGTCACAAGCTTTTAACCAATAAAAAATTCATATTACAGATACCACCAATGTTAACACAAATATAAACTTGCATGTATTTTTCTTCACTTTCACGTTATATCAAACTGTATTCAAATGTATATTATAAATTGCATTTAACACTTGATTGTATTAGATAAAATATAATGCAGTGAATTTAGTCTTGTAGGCACTTGCAAAGTTTCGATAATATTGCAGTGATGGTGACGGTAAGTGAAGTAAGCCCGGGCGCAGCGTTTTGATATCATGTAGTGCCTACATAGCCGTAATGCATAAATTGGACTGTCTCGCTAAAAGAACGGTGCAGTGGTGCAAGCCCTACAAAACCAAACCAGTTTCCTCACTTGCTTGCTTGCTTGCTAGTTGCGCCCCAATCCAATCCGATTCAACCGCTTACCTCTCTTCGCGGTATATGCGAGCCCCGCCTTAGTCAGGCTCGTCGCAATTCTTTTCCGTTCCTGTATCATTCTTTCAATAATTTTTCATATTTTTTTCCTTTTTATTTTTTTAAATAAATATTTATATTTTTCTATAATAGTATATTTAAATATTTTTATTGTAATTTATGTATTTTTATTATCTTTATTTGTATTCTTATTATCATTATCTATACAATTGTTATATTATTTGTAACTAAATTATAATAGAATTCAAAGAAACAATTTTATAATAGCATTAAATTATATTTGATTAGAAATTACAATATTCGTGTCATTAATTACAAAACGTTGAACATATTCAAAAATAATATATTAAAAATTATACTGTTATTTTATTATAAAATATTATATACATAAATAATAAAAAAAGTTGATGTATCTCTAAAATATACGAATATGCTTGAATTAATAAACCATTATATATTCTATAAAATAAAATTATGCATGTATTATATACATATATATAAATAAATATATATATATTAGATTTCAATAGATTTTAAGTATATACTTTTTTTTCCTTAATAAAGTTATAATCATATGTTATTATATATGATATAAGTATTTTTAAAAAATCTATATTTAATTAGAAAATTCTGCAATTTTTTTTATTATGAAATTCAAATCTTTTATATTATTTATGAATTGATACTATAGCATAAAGCATAGCACAAATCTTTCTATTCTTAATTTTACAGATTCTTTTCCCAAATTAAGAATTATTACATATTATATATATGTAATTTTATTTGCATAAAAATACTATTTCAATAATTTGAAATAAAATCATAAAAAATATAAAATTTTATATTACATTTTCACATTTTTAAAAAATTATATTAAAATAAAATTCTACAATTTAAATTATCATTCTCTATTTGAGAAAGAATTAAATAATTCCCATGAACATTTTCTTAATTATTACAAATAATGTTTTAGATAACAGAACACAGTACAGACAACAAGATACGGTCCTGAATTCAACCGTAAACCGCCTGTCTGGTTGAGCACGCACCCGCGTCCCTCAAAGGAGAAGAAGCAACAAAGACAGATGGTGCTCGTATGTTCGCTTGCTGAAACCTGTTCCTTCAGAACTTTTCCGTTTTCTTAATTTTTATTCGTTCAAATTCTATTAGTTAAAAATTATTATTTTATTCATAATTATAATTAAAACTATACGTTAATTCACAAATAAAATGTTAATAAATTAAACTTCACTTATTGTTATACTGTATATTTAAATATACATATTTCTTTTTCCTCTTGTTCCCTCTCCTTCTTTCATGTCTTTTTCTATCTCTCATTACTTAGCTGTCTGCACTCTCCACAGACAATGCATTTTTTGCTCGACTCTAGAGCCATTGTCGTGGGAGGTTGGAATTTTAACGTAGAAATGTTTGTAATTAAATTTATATATCTCAAAAATTTGAAGATATTTAATATTTTTATATAATATCACTTTAAATATATTATAACATAGGAGAAATATCTGAACAATAATTTAATGAAAAAAATTATTATTATTTTTTACAATTACAATTATTATTAAAATATTTTTCACAAATATTTTTTATATTTATTTTTACAAGTATAATTTGAAAAATTATTGCATAAAAATATTTAATAATACTTTGAAATTATTTCCCACGTTGACATTAAAAATCTCGAACTGCTTGCAGAGATCGCAAAGATTTTCTCAGGAACCAGAACAGTTGCATTAAAGCATGAGATGGACCCCCAGCTACTCTTCTCTCCAAAATACTTGTTTAGCTATGAGAAATTCTTCTTTTTTCACATGCCAAATAAATAGGGGTGAACCTGTATTCGGATAATGCTATAGCAAGCGGAATACATACTACATACTTGGGAGAATTATACTCTTAGAAGGGTCGATGGACCAAGATGCTATTTGAATTAACATAATAAAAAATATTTAAATGTTGTTTTATATTAAATTTTTAGTTTAGTTTCTTATTTTTTATTTTCGGAAATTTTTTAAAAAGTTTATTTTTTAAGAAATCTTTTTTTTTAAACAAAATGTACAAATGACGCTTTATAGTTTAATAATTTATATTTGTGATTTCTTATCAAAATTTAAATATATTAAATATGATATTTTAATAAATATATATACATATATACATTTTTTTTTTTATACTTAAAGTTTTCAAAATAATGGCGGTTTAAAAGATGACATCGTTAACTTCAACGAAAGTTAATTCTAATTTAGTATAGAATTGATGACATCAGAACTCAGGCATTATGTACATAGTACTTAGTAGCTTCCATAGAGCATGGAAATAGAGATTTTGAAGTGAATTGGACATGGTATTTAGTATTGATGTAGTTCGATGTGAAATGTGAATGAATGTTCGCGTATGTGACGAACGGAAAAGAATTTATTTCTTATTTTTTTATATTTTTTTTTTCTTTATTACAATGAATCAATATAATACAATATCTATATAAAAATTTGGTATATTTATTAGAAGATGGAATTCATTAATTTTAAAATATATACGATAGTGATTATAGGCCTCTATTGTTTGGGCGTTGTCGGACAATATGAGTGGCAAGCTAGAGATGCTTTTGATGAAATCCGTTTAAAAATGGATAAAATTAATGAAGAGAATTGTCCTATTCAACATATTGGAGATCTCTATCTACCAGAAGATACAGTCTCTCATTTACCTGACATTAAAGATATTAATATCAATCCTGTGTTTCCAAATCGAACTGCTTTACTTCATCTTCATAATATGGCTCTTAGTAGATCATTTTTTTGGAGTTACATTTTACAATCTCGATTCATACGTCCTGCTATCAATGATACTTATGATCCAGGCATGATGTACTATTTTTTATCAACAGTTGCTGATGTTTCTGCAAATTCACATATAAATGCCTCCGCTATATATTTTTCACCAAATATGTCTTATTCTTCATCATATAGAGGCTTTTTTAATAAAACTATGCCCAGATTTGCTCCAAGAACTTTTAGAGCTGATGATTTTAATGATCCTATACATTTAGAAAGAATATCCACAAGAAATACATTTAATGTGCAAGATCTTGGAGCATTTGCCAGTGGTAGTCTTGGTGAAGATTATACAACAGATTATTATCGTATAAATGAATGGTAAACAAAATCTAAATTATTAAGATTAGATAAAAAAAAGTTTTATAATTTATAAATTATTATATACTATCAATTCTATATAGGTATAAGAAATGGTTACCAGATAATGTTGATAAAAGACATGACACTAAAATCACTTATCAAGTTGAAATTAGATATGCTAACAATACTAATGAAACATTTACATTTCACGGACCACCTGGTATTATAATAAAAATAATCAATTTAAATAATATAAAGTTTTACATTATTAAAATTCTTTTTTTATTTTTTACAGGTGCAGATGAGCATCCTGGTCCTGTAAAATGGACCAGACCTTATTATGATTGTGGGAGATCAAATCGATGGCTTGTGGCAGCAGTTGTGCCAATAGCAGATATATATCCAAGACATACAGGATTTAGACATATTGAATATCCAACGTATATTATTATTATTATATATTACTTATATAATACAACTTATATATTATTTGTTTAAATTTTTCATTAAATTACATATCTTTATTTCAGTTATACTGCCATATCAGTTATTGAAATGGATTTTGAAAGAATAGATATTAATCAATGCCCAAAAGGAAAAGGAAATAGTGGTCCCAATAGATTTGTAAATACTGCTAGATGTAAAACTGAAACTACTGAGGTATTAAATATAAAAAAATTATTATATATTTAATATTTTCTAAGAAAATTAAATTTAAATTTTTTTAATTAATTTTAATTAATTTTAAATTATAATTTACAATTAATTATAATTTAATTTAGTGTGAACCATTACATGGCTGGGGTTTTAGAAGAGGTGGATATCAATGTAGATGTAAACCAGGCTTCAGATTACCAAATGTAGTACGGCGTCCATATCTAGGTGAAATTATAGAAAGAGCAACTCAAGAGCAATATTACAATGGATTTGATTGCTCTCGAATAGGATGTAAGTATCTATATATTTATTTCTTATAATTATTATTATTGTCATTATTGATATTATTATTATATTATATTATATTATATTATATTGTTATTGTTTTATTTTTTCGTTTCTTATATAGGGATACATAAAATGCCTGTTGAATGGGAAAAAGCAAAACCTCATATTAGAGAAAAGTATTTAGAGCAATTTTATCACTATAGAAATTATTCTATTGGACCAGAAGCAATAAAATCTGAAAAAATTAATATAGATCAAATTCTTAAATTCATTTTAAGCATCAATTCAAAAACTTGTAATAGGTGTGCCATAAAAATATTCATTTTCTGATATTTTTCATTTTCTTATACAATTCAGAAAGTAAAATATTGAAAGAAATTCATTAATAATATTTAATATTACAGTTATAAGCAAGAAGATTTAACATTACGCGGAGATATAAGTTTCGGCGCTAAAGAATTTTTTGAAAACGAAGCGAAAATGGCAACTAGATTGGCAAATTTTATTAGTGCATTTCTACAAATTTCTGATCCTCTTGAAGTTTATTCAGGTAAAAGAGTAGCTGATAGACCACTTACCGAAGATCAAATGATTGGAGAGACTTTAGCTTTAGTACTTGGAGATACTAAAATATATTCTGCTGAAATGCTTTGGGATCGAAATAAATTTACAAATAGAACATTTTTTGCTCCTTATGCCTATAAAACTCAATTAAATACTAAATTTAAGGTTGAAGATTTAGCTAGACATAATGATGCAGGTAATATTTATTATTAAATAATATTTGTTAAATTATTATAACATGTAATATTATAACATATTGTAATATAATCTTAATTTTAATTATTTGTTTTTATTTTATAGATAATGTTTATACAAAAAAGAATTATTTTCAATTATTGAAACAAAGATGGGCAACAAATTTTGATGAACTAGAAAAATATTATATGAAAATAAAAATAAGATTCAATGAAACCGGCGAATATCTTAAAAAATATGAACATTATCCTAATTCTTATAGGTAAGAATTATTTAAAAAAAAATGAAAAAAATGAAAAAGAAAACTATATATATAATTTTTATATTTTTAATATAAAAAAAATTGATTTTAGAAATAGAATTTATTTTAATGTGGGAATATTTATTCATTTGTATAGGGCAGCAAACCTGAATCATGGCCATTGGACAACTCCTTACTTTGATTGCAACGGTAAAGTAAAGAAATGGGTAATTACCTATGCATCCCCGTTTTTTGGCTTGGACAACTTGAAAGAGAAACTGGAATTCAAGTAAGTATTTCTATCCACATGGACAACTGAATAAGGTATAGCATATGCATGAGAAATCGAATGTGAGATTGTTCATAAGGATAGAAAACCTGTTTTAATTCTAAAGAAAAAAAATCAAAAAGGAAAGATCACATTTTATATTAAAATCCTTATTGAGATATATTATGAGGTATAATATATTATAGAGGTATTGTAGCTGTTACCATGGATCTTCTTCAACTCGATATTAATCAATGCGACGATGTGTTTTACGCTCCAAATGCATTTAAAAGTACTCATAAGTGCGATCAAAAAACTTCATATGTAAGACATTAAATTCTATTGAATTAATTAATATTATTGCTATAATTTTAATACATTAATATAATTATAATATATCTAATATGTATATAGTGTGTGCCTATTCTCGGAAGAGGTTTCGAGACAGGCGGATATAAGTGTGAGTGTAAACAAGGTTTTGAATATCCATTTGAAGACTTAATTACGTATTATGATGGTCAATTAGTAGAAGCTGAATTTAATAATTTAATTAACGATCAAAAAACTAGGTAATTAATATTATGAATTAATATAACAATAATTTTAAAATATATAATAATTTTATTATATAACTAATAATTTAACACAAATGCTTACTTTTACAGATATGATATGTTTAAATGTCGATTAGCTACTGCCTCATCAATTCAAGTCAATTGGATATTATTACTTATATCGACAATATTTTATTATTTTATAGTACGCAAATAACTCATAATAATATTGTAATAATGCGAATTTTACTCTATATGCATTTATATAGTCCATATATATCCATTAAGATAAAGCTTTATGAATACAATCCGTCCATTATTAATATGATCATTTTTAAAGTATTATATTTTTAAAATACTTTACTATTCATTTATTATTATTATTATTAATTTATAGAACATAATATTTCTGCAATGAGATTTTAAAATTATTTTCGAATATTTTTATTAAATGAATATATGAATATTATACATGAATAAATAAAAAATTATTATTTTTAAAAATTGTTTAATTTTAAACAATATATTTCTGATGGTACATATTTTAATTACATTGAAATATGTATTTATTATATTTTAATATGCACGATTAGTACATTTAAGAATAAATTGTGAAAGTTGTGTATATTATTATAACTCATTTTAAAATTTCTATTATTTTATATTTTATTTTATAATAATACATTGCAAAAATCATTACAATATTTTATTTTTATAAATTTGTTATTTTTCCTTATTTCTCATAAATAATACAAATTAAAATAATAAATGAATATTATAATGATACATGTTTGATCCTGTAATTATATATAATAAATATTTTATGTCAATATTTTATATATTTATTAATAAATAATTCACAATTGTAATTGTCTAATTTATTATATTTGTTATCAATAAATTATAAAAATTTTTATTTTTACAACTTGATATTTAATTTTTAATAAATTAATAAATTTATTTATTAAAAATATGTTACTATTATTGTTCTCTATATTATTATTCTCTGTATTTTAGTTATGTAAAATTAACAAAAATGAATCATAATAAAGAAAAAATGAAAATTATATTAAGTAAATAAAAATAAACAAATAATTACAAACACTGATATTTTTACAAGTATCTATTTTATCAATCATTACTTATTTTTATTTACATAATGATATTTAATAAATCTAAAACCTTGAGTCATTTGTGCTCCTTCATTCACAAAATGACAGGCAAAAAGAAGTAAGTTGCGTGGTTCAACTCTTAAAGCAAAACGCATGAACATTGCTGAATATAAGCATAAAGCTGAAAAAAATTAATATATTCTATAAATTTTAATTTATCTTCATAGTTTTGAAGAGTTCATTCAGTTCATTCAATTCAGCAATTCATAGCATATGTATATTGAGAATTAAAGTAAAAGATTTGTTAATATTCATTAACATAATTTTATATTTAATTTTTATTATAATAACTATATTTTCAAATAATAAATTAATATTCTGAATTTATCTAAATGCAATGAAAGAATATATACATGAAAATGTATATTATTATTTTATTCTTTTTTCTGAATTTTTATTATTACGCGATACATATGATACAAGTATAAAAAAAGTTATAAGTTTATAATTTAATGTAACGGAATTTTTATATATATCGTAATTTTACTTATCTTCATATGCATGTATAAAATTTTAATGATTATTCAATTTATACCAGAAAAGAAGAAAGTAGATAAACTAACCAAACGTCATTTTTCCACTAATATATTTCGGATCTCTTTGTATATCAGCGATTGCTGCGATTGGAATACCCCAATTAGCTATAGGTCCCCAAAAATGAGTACTAAAACAAAAGAAACAATAATGAAATCCATTCTGATTAAATAATATACTAAATCAAATACTAAGTAACAAAATTTATATATATATATATGTATATACTCTATACTTAAATTCCATATTGCTTACCTCATTAAATAATCTCGAGTTTCTTTACTCGATAGCAATTTTTTTACACGATTCATATTGTAATAATTCGTTCTTTTTCTTCTTTTTTCACCTTCTTCTAATAATTAAATTTATTCTTAATGGACTAAATCGAAGCACATACATAAACTCGAATGAAACAATTTCGAAAGAATAAGAGATATCAATCTGGTTATATAAACGATTAACATAATGAATTCATATATTAACAGAAAATTATTTCATAAGAGCTTTAAATTTGACCATATAATTTCGATGTTAAAGAAAATAAAAGTTGATTTTTCTATACTTTGATTATGCAACGAATAAAATTAATTTTATAATTTGTATTAAATTCTTTAATTATCGAAAATGTATGAATTTCCTTCATTTAAATTATTTCTTAATATGATATATTTTTTATAATAATATGATGATATAAATAAATAGTATGATTATGTAATAATTGAATAATTTTATTATTCAATTTTATTTAATTCAATTCAATTTTAATTTCATAATATCATAATTATTTTAGAATAAGACTGTAAAGTAGGAATTTTCTTTAGGATGAAAAATAAATTAAATAACGATTAAGCATTAAACCTATTTTTAATTTAGAATAATTATTCAAAAAATATATACAAAGTTTATATATAATATGTTATACTACCTTACAAAATTAACTTTTTTCTTTTCTAAATTTTTTCATATAATTACAAAGCAAAAGAAGATGTTACAAAATGTACAACTATAATTCAAAATCGCTTTCTTATAATATGCAAATTAACAGATCTATATATTTTATTGTAATTGCAAATGTAATTTATGATATATATCAATAATGCAAAATTTTGCATTTTTCAATTACGCTATAATTTGTTAGCTGAGCTGTTCTTAATTTAGTATGTATGAAACCAATGAGTTTTATTTTATAGCTACAAAGATAGCATACAGAAGTAAATTATTATATACATATATATTTCATAATATAAGAATATTTTTGTCAATATATATAATAAGAGGTACTTGTCGCTCGTTAAATGTTTTAACACGTCACGTGTTCATAAAATACAAATACTTTTTCTTTTCATATACATATTTCTATTGGCGCTAAAAAAATATTGTTATTTTAATGACGCTTTTTAAGAATTATAATCTGTCTTAAATAATGTATATTGATGTATGAACAATTATAATAACAAGTTTCATTTTAAATTGCAATATTTACTTACATTATAAAGATCATTTTTACTTTTTTTTGCTATAATTATTCAATATATTGAAGAAATTATTTAAAAAAATATCAATTATCTTGTATCAATAATAAAAATATCATTTCACTTTATCTATTTTATGATGCAATATGTATCATAAATGGTACATATTCAAATAAACGTGTAGAAATTTATTTTAATAATCGAGCAACGGATACATATGTGATGAGCGATATTTTTTTCGCATATTCATATTTCACATTCGCATATTTCATATTCTTAATTGATCATTTGTAGTTTAAAATAGATGAACATTAATACTTGTTGAATGTTTATATTAAGAACGTATGGACTTCAGAAGTGTATGTTAGCATGTCACTCATTCACATGCATTTATAAACTAAAGATATAAACATGCAAAAATATGAATAAAGTAAAATTAGCAATCGTAGACTGGGAATTGGGGTTACTTTCATGAGATAAGAGTAAATCCCTTTGGTATTCATTATTTGTCAAATGTGATGTAACACAATATTCGATTCTTTTCACCCAGTAATGATATCATATATTCCATAAGTTTTTTTGTACAATTAAAATAAATATGAATAGTTTTTATATTTCAATGATTGCAAGTTGGAAAATATTAATTTAAATGCATCATATAAAATAATGCACGTATAAAATTAGAATTTTCCTCTTTTTTTTATTGTTACAAATCGATATATTTATAATTTTTAATAAATGATAGAATAAAGATAGATATGAGTGAGTTAGAGAGAGAGAGAGAGAGAGAAGAGAGAGAGAGAGAGAGAGAGAGAAGAAGAAGAA